CAGATGAAGCCACAACACAGAATGTCATGGCGCCACCCTCGATCCAAGCACTGACACTGGCTCGACATGGTCATTGTTAGATGTACAAGCCTAAGCATGTGCTTCTCACCCGCTCATACCACAGCGCTGATTGCAACTCCAACCATTCACTAACATGCTGCAAGATCAAACTGCTACCAGAGAAACTTCATTGCTTCAAACATTTAGGGAAGCCACGCACTGACAAAAACAAGAGGCAACATTCTGAGAAGCTTGAGGATTCATAAAGTCTCTTGAAGATGATCTGTCTGCAGGCCACCGATGCAACACCGCTTTTAGATCATGGAACCACCTGCATGAGGTAATTCAGAAATCAGCTCTTGCTACCTTTGGGAGGAAGACCTCAAAGAACTGCGACTAGTTTAAAGCCAAGTCTGAGAAGTTGATTCCTGTTATTGTTACATAGCATGCTTCCCTTGCTGAAAACAAGCGCTCACCAATTGAGAAGATCCTCTAAGCAATCAGATCAGCCAGAAGCAAAGTACAGCAGAGAGCAAGAAGATGGGCCAACGAGTACTGGCGGGAGCTCAGTAACGACATCCAGACTGAAGCAGCAACAGGCAACATCAGGGCATATATGAGGGCATCAAAAAAACTCTTGGACCAACCTAGAGCAAAACAGTATCTCTGAAAACCAGCAGCGGAGAAGTGATCGCCGACAAAGTTGAGCAGATGGAGAGATGGGTGGAACACTAGTCAGAGCTCTAGTCCAGAGAGAAGGTTGTTGTCACCTCAGCAATGGATACCTCTGCCCATCATGGAGGAGTGAGAAGCTACACCAACACTGGAAGAAATCGGAAAGACTATAAACAGCTTAACCTATGGCAAAGCCCATGGGAATGATGGCATCTCCCAGACCTGATCAAGCACTGCAAGACCACCATTTTGCAGCCTTTACATGACACCGTTTGCCAAATGTTGGAGTGACGGTGGTGTTCCACAAGATACGAGAGATGCCAGGATCGTCACCCTGTGTATAAAAAAAGGCGTTAGGAGCAACTGCAACAACTACAGAGGCATCTCCCTCTTAAGCATCGTGGGCAAACTGTATGCCAGAGTCCTGTTAGTACGTCTTCAACAGCTAGCGGAATGCGGCCACCCAGAGTCCTAATGTGGCTTTCGAGCAGAACATTCTACAGAGGAGATGATCTTCTCCCTTCGCCAAATACAGCAGAAGTGCAGGGAACAGCAGAAGCCCCTCTAAATTGTCTTCATAGATTAGGAGGAGAAGGGAAGGGTTTGGAGAGTTTTAGAAAGCTATGCCAGCCCAGACATTTTGTCCTGCAGCAGCGTTCGAAAAGTAGTACAATTCAAAACCGAGTTCAAAACATTCGAAAATGTTTACAGAAGGTGAATTATGCTTAAAGCATAAGTATTGCTTTTATTTTTAATTAGGTGACCTAAAGACCATGTATTAAAAAAAATGATCAAGTAAATATAAATACCCATACATATAAATAAATAGAAAATTAAATAAAAATAAAATTTATTAGTTAAATTCTGTAACCCTTAATCCTTAGCTGGACAGAAAGCCGATATAAATAGGAGTGATAGGGTTTTATTTTTAACCTAGTTAAACTAGGGGAGTTGCTGCATATCTGTGACCTAATTAGGTACTTGGGATTACTGTATAATACAGAGTTACACCTGATTAAGTTTATGACTAGTAAATTAATGATGATTGAACTGAGTTGAGTGTAATTCAGTCTGAAATTATACACGTAATTTGAAATTACACTTGAAACTACCACTTTATTATATCAAATTTGAAATGGCAAAATTCAGTTGCTAATACTTAAGATTTTGTAGTCGGTTATAAACTGATGATCTTTTGGTCTGTATACTGTGCTAAACTTGTATTTTAGAAAGGCTTTCTCATTGGCTGGGAAAAAGATGCATTTTGAAGAGCAAAAAAATGGTGCGATTCGTGAATAAATGGTATTAATAAGAGCCAATCACAAGTAAATTCAAAATGCAAGTAAGAAAGATTATAAAGTATCTTAAAAATATTTCGCAATATCTGTGAAATCAATGAAATACTGTGTACACTGTGATGCGTAATATAAAGTGTATCAATTTACATCTGGATTGTCAGTCAGTGACTGAATTTTAGAACCTACCAACAGTTATCATCTTTTAGATAGCTGGATACATTAGATAATTTATGGAAAATATTCAAAAACACAGGAAAAGAAAGAGATCCGATCAAGAAGATTGGAGTTATAGTATAAGGGGCGAGCTGCAGAGGTTTTTTTCTATGGTGGGACCCCTCATGGCGCCTTTAATTAGAGTGAGTCACTTTTTCAAAACTACCGTTTGGAGTTGGTCTGTGTTCGCGTGTTTGACTTTGACGAACCGATAGGGGTTCTTTCAAGTCAACTACCTTTTTCAAAACTCGGTGTTT